AGGAGTCTGTCGGCCCTGACAATGCCTTCAACAGGTCTGGGCACAGACTGGAGAGAAGCTGGGCTCCCACTGCACCAGGACGGAGTGGCCCAGAGCCACAGAGCCACGGAGACTCGGGCAGGGGTTGCTCCAGCACTTCTTCTGGAGAACTTTCCAGTCCCAGATGCAGTCAACACAGTTGTCCACCCCTCATCTTAAGACAAGGTCTGTTCCCAGCACATCTTCTGCAAGGCCCAGCGGGGGACTCCAAGATACTCACGAAAAAAGCAAACGTAAATCCAGCTTTATTGGTAAAAAGGAATAGCAGATTTAATTGGAAATTCCCAACTGGTCCAGCAGCACCAACCAGAAGGAAGGGAAGAAGAGAGGAAAAACTATAGGAAGGAAAGAAAGAAAGGGAGAGAGGGGGAGGAGGAGGGAATGAGGAAGGAAGGAGAGGAAGGAGGAAGGGAGGGAGGGAAGGAGGGAGGGAGGGAGGGAAGGAGGGAGGGAGGGACGGAAGGAGGGAGGAAGGGAGGGAAGGAGGGAGGGAGGGAGGGAAGGAGGGAGGGAGGGACGGAAGGAGGGAGGAAGGGAGGGAAGGAGGGAGGGAGGGAGGGAAGGAGGGAGGGAGGGAGGGAAGGAGGGAGGGAGGGACGGAAGGAGGGAGGAAGGGAGGGAAGGAGGGAGGGAGGGACGGAAGGAGGAACGGAGGGAGGGAAGGAGGAACGGAGGGAGGGAGGGAGAGACTGTAGATCAGGGTCTGAAGGGAGACCTGGTTCTGTAAGTAAATGATCCAAGGCACCAGGTGCTGGGAAGAGAGCAGGAGGGGAGGGGAAGGGAGGCCCATGGCACTGCCATCTAGAAGGGTAGTGGCTCTTCCGCAGGAATGTTGAGGATGACGTCCATGTCTGGGGTGCACCTGATGGGAGGCAGCACAGTGGGGCGTGAGAGGCCAGCAGGGGTGTCAGAGCTGGGGGTGTGGAAGCACCCACTCAGGGAAGTCTTGCTCTTTAGAACTCTGGTACTTAGTTGGGTCGGGGCAATCTCAAAATACAATCTGTATTTTTGGATTGCCCCACTCAAAGCCCAGCTGTGCATACACAAGCATGCACACACACACACACACACACACATCAGAAATGGAAAAGAAATTAGTTTGGCAGGATGGATGTTCCCCTGACAAGTCTGAGGTCAAGAGGGAGCAGGAACTCGGCTCTGAAATGCCGAGGCCCCTCAGGACGATCACTGTTTGGAGTGAGGATGGCTGGTTTGGTAACTTGATGCTATGTCACCTTGAACAAGCTATTTCTATCTCCCAGCCTCATTCCTTCAGTGGGCACTTAAGTGAAAAGCACTCATTAAGTGCCAGACCCCAGGTAAGCCTCAGTTTCTTTATCTGTCAAATGGGTTTAATATTCTAACCTCACTCATTGGTGAGAAGATTCAATGAGACCATGCTAGCATGTAGTAAGTGCTCAGTAAATGGCAAGCATTATTATTGCCATGAAACTAGCGAAACAGATGGATTCCCCAGCACACATTGAAGAGCCTGAAGGATATTCTCTTTTCACTCTCTTCCAAGGAGACCATCCTCTCTCATGGTTTCAATAATCTACTGATACACATGAAGTGTTTAGGCATGAAATGTCAGGATACTTGCAATTTACAATACTATTGGCCAAAAAAATAAAAAATAAATGAACATGAAACCAATATGGAAAAAAAAAACAATTTCTAAATATAGATGGGCAACTAGCTATTCACTATACCATTCTACTTTTCTTTATATTTGAAATTTTTCACAATAATAGTTTAAAAAAATTCATCTCTATGCTGGCAACACCCAAATTTCTTCTTCCAGCCAGTATCTGTCCCCTGAGGCCTACACTCACCTTGTCAACTGCCCACCCAATGACTCCACCTTAGTTCCTCACAGAAACCAAACTTACTGTCCAAATCAACTGTATTTTTTTTTTTTTTTTTTGAGACATGGTCTCACTCTGTCACCCAGGCTGGAATGCAGTGATACGATCACAGCTCAATAATTCTGGGATTTCCTGTTCACTTTTTTTTTTTTTTTGAAAAATGGCATTGCAAATTGCAAGTATCCTGACACAAACATGTGCCACCACACTTGGCTAATTTTTTAATTTTTTTGTAGAGATGGCGGTCTCACTATGTTGTCTCCCTGGTCTCAAACTCCCAACCCCAAGCAATCCTTCTTCCTCAGCCTCCTAAAGCACTAGGATTACAGGTGTGAACCACCATGCCTGCCTCCAAGTGAACTTTCGACCATGCCTACATACACATCCTTCACCCCATCCCAGCCTTCCCAATCTCTGCATTTGGCACACCACCACCCCTCTGCAAAAGTCAGGAACCCAGGGGTTATTCTTGACCCCTCCCTTTCCTGTACTTCCCAAGTCGTACAAGTCCTTCTTACCTTCCTAAATATTTCTCTAACCCATCTACTTTTCCCATCTCTTATGCCACATACTTGGCCAGGCCACTCCCCACGTTCCCCTGGACAACTGCCCTCACACCCACTGGACCTCCAGCTGCCACTCAGACTCCTCGCCAATCTCATGCCCATGCTCTTTTCTTTTAGAAAGAGTCTTGCTTTATTAAGCAGGCTGGAGTGCAGTGGCACGATCTTGGCTCACTGCAACCTCTGCCTCTTGGGCTCAAACAATCCTCCTGCCTCTGCCTTCCGAGTAGCTGGGACTACGGGCACACGCCAACATGCCTGGCTAATTTTTGTATATTTTGTAGAGATGCGGTTTCACCATATTGCCCAAGCTGGTTTCGAACTCCTGGGCTCAAGCATTCCTCCTGCCTTGGGATCCCAAAATGCTGGGATTACAGGCATGAGCCACCACACCCAGCCCACCATGCTCTTTTCAAACTGGCTTTTTTAAAATACAAATATGATCATGTCACCATGTGGCTTAAGATCCTTTGCTTCTGGGATCAGACAGAAAATCCTGGCCTATAGGGCACTACGTGGAGTTCCCTAGGAGCTGATTTGCCCTGCTCCCTGACTGCCACTCTCCCTGTCACTCTGCATTCTAACCACACTGGCCTCACTCAGCTTCATGTCAATTAGAAATGCAGAATCAGAGCCGAGCACAGTGGCTTACACCTGTTATCCCAGCACTTTGAGAGGCTGAAGTTGGGGAATCACCTGGGGTCAGGAGTTCAAGACCAGCCTGATCAACATGGAGAAACCTCGTCTTTACTAAAAATACAGTATAAGCCAAGCGTGGTAGCGCATGCCTGTAATCACATGACTCAGGAGGCCGAGGCAGGAGAATCACTTGAACCTGGGAGGTGGAGATTTCCGTGAGTCAAGATTGCACCATTGCACTCCAGCCTGGGCAACAAGAGCGAAACTCCTGGGCAACAAGAGCGAAAGAAAGAAATGCAGAATCACACTGGGCATGGTAGCTCACACCTGCAATCCCAGCATTTTGGGAGGCCGAGGCAGGTGGCTCACTTGAGGTCAGGAGTTCAAGACCAGCTTGGCCAACTTGACAAAACCCTGTCTTTACTAAAAATATAAAAATTAGCCAGGTGTGGTGGCATGCACCTGTAGTCCCAGCTACTCAGGAGGCTGAGACAGGAGACTCACTTCAACCTAGGAGGCAGAGGTTGCAGTGAGCTGAGATGGTGCCACTGCACTCCAGCCTGGGTGACAGAGCAAGACTCTGTCTCAACAACAACAACAAAAATGCAGAATCATGAGCCCCACTCAGACCTATGACTTGGAATCTGCTTTTTAACGAGATCTCCCTGTTTCCTAGGCATGTTCCAGTTGGAGAAGCTCTGCTGAACATTGTGCCATTTCCACTTTTTAGGAGGGAAAAACTGCTCCCTTGCTCCTGGTGTTCCCTTCTACGTGGAAGGGCATCCATGAGGGTATTGCTTCTGGCCTCTCTCTGCCCCTTTATATTCTGCTCTTGGAAAGGGGGTATGACCACTGGAATGTGAGTGTGAGGAGAGGAAGGGGACGTAAGGAGCACAGTCCCTTCCTCTCTTAGCAACAAGCAACCTGAAAGGACTCCGCTTTTCTCTGCCCCAAGGCCTGGCTCCCCATGAGTCCAGTTCCACCACAACTGGGTGGCTCAATCCGCCTAATTCTGGGTTCACTATTCAGAGGCCAACGTGCCTAGAAATATGAGCCACAGTCCGTAAGATCAGCTTTACCAGAATAAAGGTGATAACCCAGCCCACATGTGCCTTACCCCTTTCAGTCTCATTCACTGTGTTCAGAGCTCAGGTAAAGACCACAGGTGACTAATTATTACATCCCACAGAGAACCTCACACCACCCCCTAGAATTGCTCTTCCTTCAGCTCCCCCATCAGTTCCCTTCACCTAGTGAATTTCTATGCATCCTTCAGGGCTCAGTTCAAATGTCACATCCTCAGGAAAACCTTCTTTGACTGCCCAGCCTCGCTGTCCTAAGAGTCACTTTCGCAGTGGCATGTATTCTACTCCGTAGCTCCAGGCTCCGCTGCAACTCCACATTTATTTGTGGTTCATTATCAACTGACGTCCAGTTCCCTCTTTGATTCCATGAGGGCAGGGTCAGGACTGTTTTCATTCACATGGTGCCTGGCATTCAGAGGCACTTCATAAATCCAATGGCATTTTGCTGTTGTTGTTGCTGTTTGTTTTCATATTTGTTTTGAGACAGTCTTGCTCTGTCACCAGGCTGGAGTGCGGTGGCGTGATCTCAGCTCACTGCAACCTCCGCCTCCCGGGTTCAAGCAATTCTCCTGCCTCAGCCTCCTGAGTAGCTGGGACTACAGGCGTGTGTCACCATGCCCGGCTAATTTTTTGTATTTTAGTAGAGACGGGGTTTCATCATGTTGGCCAGGATGGTCTCAATCTCCTGACCTCATGATCCGCCCTCCTCGGCCTCCCAAAGTACTGGAATTACAGGTGTGAGCCACCGTGCCCAGCTGTTGTTGTTTTTAGAAACAGAAGAAAAGGAAGAGACAGCTATAGGACAGGAGAGGAGAAGGAAGGAGAAGGATAGGAGGGAGAGACAGACAGAGATGAAGACGAAAAATTAAAGAATTCGCAAATGCTAGGCTCTGCCATGCATGGTTCTGTGGTGTTATCATGGAGACGCAAGCCTGGGTGACCCCAACCCAATCGCAGACGGCTTGCTCCAAGGGAGGGCAGGCAAAGAATTGGTTTGGGGAGGAAATCCTTCCCCTGGGGCCCAGAAACCTGCCAAGTGTAGAGGACATCCTTCTGTCCTTGTGGGGTGTCTTCCAGGCTATTGTTCCCTGAAGCCAACCGCCCCACTCCACTCTGCCTTCCTCAGAAAGGCAGAAGTGGAAGACTCTACCCACTTGGCTGACACGTGGAATCTGTGAACTGGAAGGGTCCGCAGGGATTACATACCCCAGCCTGCCATGTACAGTTGGGAATCAGAGGCCTCTGCAGAGATGGGAAAGGTCACATCTGCCCCTGGTCAGTGGCAGATCCAAGGTGGAAACCCAGGGTTTCCCATCCAGGGTTCTGCCATCCACATCAGGCTGCCTTCCCCAAGAACAGAGAGCCTCTGTGGGCCCAGAGTGTGGCTGGTCTATGAGGCAGTGGCAAAATGATCACATACTTGGGTCTCCGAAGCAGAACATCCTCAAATACGACCTCCCGGGGTTCCCGGATCTGGGCCTGGAGCTCTTCTACCTCAGCTCTTAATACAGGCACATTCTCCTCAAACTGGCCAAGAAACTGAGAGGAAAGGCATAGCAGGGGAGAAGTGAGATGCCAAATGGCCCCCAACCAAAGAGAGAGAGAGAGGCCAAAAGGAACAAGGAGCAAAGCTATCTGGGGAGCTGGTATGGGCTCTGTCACCGGCCTTGCTGGACTCCAGAGAGGGCACCTCCTCCTGCAGGGTGGGGCTGACTCCCAAGTTAGTGACACCATTCAGCGGTGCTGCAACAAGTAAGGGGTCACGGAGAATGGAGACGGGTTACAAAGGGGTTGGGGAGCGAGCGCTCCATCATGGGAATCAGTGGGGCTAGCAGAGACGGCGAAGGGCGTGCACATTAAAAACTGATGAAGGGGCAAGATAATGAAAATTAATTCAAGAAGGCAGTGATGGTGAAGTTCATTAACATGATACTGGGTGGTGGGCAGTGACAAGAATCAAGGGGTAAAGATGCGTGGTGGTTAATGGCTGAATGCTCGATGCTTGATGACAGTGACGTGGGTCAGAGCCAGCAATGCTGGCCCTCCCAGATGAATGACAAGTGACAGTAATGGCACTGGCAAGGGGACAGGCCCACACCGGAGCCAGAGACCTCCTAAGCACCAGATCAAGAGAGGCTTGGCTCACTCCCACAGGCCGTGGGGACCGCCCACCCACTGCTCCCCTGCAGGGACCACCACCTTCCTTGCCCACGCACTTTTCTCAACCTGTGAATGCATTTCAGCGAGGCCTGGCTTTCCCAAACCATCTGTAGAAGAGCCTTCTCATGGGGATGCTGGGTTTTCTGTGAAGGAAGAAGAGGTCTGGACCCCAGGTGCCTCTTCCTGGGCAGCAGAACATGGTAGAGACTGATGGGGCTCCAGTGGGCCTGGAGGCAGAGGGCGGGGAAGAGGGCGGGGCGGGGGTGGGACCTGGATCCCCCATCCCCCACAGCAACTAGTTACTCACTGTCACCAGAGAACTCAGAATTTTTTTCTCCTCCTTCTGAATCTTGTCGGACAAGGACTTCAGGACCTTTCTGCGCATCTCACTGAGGTCATCCAGCTCATCCTGGGAGCCAGCAGAAGGGTGTTGGCCACCAGCCCTGCCACCCACATGGTCCTGTGAGGCAGGGGCAGGGGCTCCCCTACCTGCTGGCTGTCCTTAACCTCCTGCAGCTGCCGCACTAAGGTGGCGATCTGGACAGACTTGATGGAATACTCATGGTCCATGTAAGTGCTCAGGAATTTCACGTCCTCCTGGGTCTTGTCGATCTTGGCATTCAGCTGCTCCACCTGCTGCTCCAGATCTGGGGAGGGGTTGGGGAGGTCAGCAGGGACAGGAAGCAAGACCTTCCCTCAAGGACCCTTCCCAGGAGGCAAGTTCTCCTTGGCCAATAAATTGGAGTCTGGGCTGAGGTGAGCTCACACAGGGCTGGGAGGTGGTTAAAAATTAAGGCTCTAGAGCGTTTTGCACCCCTGCAGAAGAGGCAATGCTGGGTAGGAAAAAGAAAGAAAGCTGGTACATGACCTCTAGACTAGTCTCCATTATGCTACCGACTTGTTGGACTTCAGTCTTGGTGAGGGGAAGAGGGCGGGGCGGGGGTGGGACCTGGATCCCCATCCCCCACAGCAACTAGCTACTGACTGCCACCAGAGAACTCAGAACTTTTTTCTCCTCCTTCTGAGGAGAAGAAAAGTATCCCCAGAGACACACTTAAGGAAGTGAGACCAGGGAGATGGGGCGACAGGGGTTCCCAAGACACAACCCACGGCAGGATTAAGACAACGTCTATCCTCTCTTCCTGCAGAGAGAGATCCCCGGTGCCTGGGGTTGCCTAATCCACCGCCCCTCCACTCAGCAGGTGTGTAGTCTGCTCAGGGAGAAGGAACCACAGGCTGGACGGGATGGAAGCCAGGAGTCCTGAATTCTAGCCCAGCCATTGCCTCCCAGAAGAACCCTGGCAGGAAATGGAGACGGGCTAGGATTGGATTATGGCTCCTCGCTACATGACCTGCCACAAGCCACTTCACCTCTCTTGGCCTCGGTTTCCTCACCTGTAAAATGGGAGGACAGTTTCCCTGCTTCCAGGTAGTTCTGACTGAGTGTGTGCCTGTAACAGTGCAGACACATGGGGCCTGGAAACAGCTAAGTGCTAAGTAGGCTATTCGCTCTGTATCTTAGCCTTCTCATCTGCCTAGAAGGGAGATGCCGGGCCTGAGGGTTTCCGAATGGCAAGCACAAGGTGAATGCCTGCTGCTGACCTCCCCCGGGAGCCAGGGGGGAGGGTCAAGGACTTCACCCAGGGATTCTTTCTTTTCTTTCTTTCTTTCCTTCTCTCTCTCTCTCTCTCTCTGTCTCTGTCTCTGTCTCTGTCTCTGTCTTTCTCTGTTTCTCTCTGTTTTTGAGATAGAGTTTTGCTCTTGTTGCCCAGACTGGAGTGCAATGGCGAGATCTTGGCTCACTGCAACCTCCACCTCTAGGGTTCAAGCAATTCTCCTGGCTCAGTTTCCAGAGTAGCTGGGATTACAGGTGTGCACCACCATGCCTGGCTAATTTTGTATTTTTAGTAGAGACGAGGTTTATCCCCGTTGGTCAGGCTGGTTTCAAACTCCTGACCTCAGGTGATCCACCCGCCTCAGCCTCCCAAAATGCTGGGATTACAGCCATGAGCCACCTCACCCCACCGACCAGGGATTCTTACAGCTCGTCTTGCATTTCTTCTTTTCTTCCCACTCCTGGAGCTCAGACTTCAATTGCTGCAGCCTCTTCTTGTTTAAGTACTCCAAGATGTCAATGACGGTCTGTGGGAGGAGCGGGGTCAACTCACCCACAGGCTCTGCTGGCTCTCAGAAGCAGCTACCCTGCACTTCCTCAGAGGAGTCCCCAATCCCAACCCCACTCCCAGAATTCCGACCAGAGGCTACTGGGGATAATAACAGTGTCCACCCATAGGGTTGTTGTAAGGACCATATAAATACATACAGATCGCCTGCAATTACACGTGCGGGTGTTTGTAAACGCTGGTGGTGGTAGCAGCTACCTCTGGTGCACAGGTACAATACGTGCCAGGTAAACCCCCTCTGGAACGGGTGCTACATTTCACAGAGCTCAGGGAGGCAAAGTTAACTCAGAGTCTCCTGGCCAGTGAGTGCTGGCGCGTTGGGACAAAACTCCCACCTCCGTCTGCTTGCAAAGCCCAGGCGATGGGAGTGAGGGGTAAAGAGCTGCGTCTTCCAGTTGCTGGAAGCATGTGCAATTGGCGGGGAAAGGCAGGAGGGGGCGCCCGCGTGAGCGGAGGGAGGGCAGACGCGGGGCTCACCGTCAGGATGTCCTGCTGCTGCAGCGTGGCCCGCACGTTCAGGGCCGTGCTGTTCTCCATGTCCTGGATGCTCTCGATCAGCTCCTCGTTGAACTTGGCGAGGAAGTGCTCATGGCTTTGGAGCTCTCGCAGAGAGGTCTGCCGGTTCCTGAGCATCGTCTGCGGGCGGAGGGAAGCGGAGAGATGCGGCGCCGCGCCCTGCTAGGCCGGAGCCCGCGAGAGCCCGCGGACCCCCGCCCCAACCCTGCCACTGCCGCCCCCTCGCGGCCTCCGCTGGTAAATGCGGCCCGAGCTGGGCGGCGGTTCCCCATTGTCTGCGCTGCCGGGGAGCTCCGGGACGCTGCTCCGTTCGGAAACGCACGTGTACCCATCATTTCACATCCCTGAGATGCAGATGCATCTTATAATTCGTGGCGTGTAATCATCTAATCAACAAATAGATTATCAGTGGGTAAATAAAGATGTGTCTTAATATCAACGGCTTCTCAGAATCAATGAAATATAGAAATAATAATAAGGGCAGGGCGCGGCGGCTCAAGCATGTAATCCCAGTACTTTGAGAGGCCTAGGTGGGTGGCTCACGAGGTCAGGAGTTCGAGACCAGCCTGGCTAACATGGCGAAAGCCTGTCTCTACTAAAAATACAAAAAATAGCCGGGCATGGTGGCGCATCCTTGTAATCTCAGCTACTGGGGAGGCTGAGGCAGGAGAATCACTTGAACCCGGGAGGTGGAGGTTGCAGTGAGCTGAGATCGCACCACTACACTCCAGCCTAGGTGACAGAGCAAGATTCTGTCCCAATAATAATAATAATAATAATAATAATAATAATAAATGACCCAGGAAGGTAAGAAGGTGGCAGAGCTACCACCATGTCTGGAAGAGAAGCAGGGGCGGCAAAGTGGATGGTAAACGTCAGCATTTCCTGACAGGCCGTGGAGCTAATGAGTACTCTCATTTCATACAACAGCCCCAGTGGAACAAGGAGGGTCTAAGGGTTAAGTGACTCCCCTAAGGTTACACCCAGCAGGTGCAGAAAACCTACAGTAATAATAACAACAACAATTGTTGAGGCCCCTCTACATGCCAGGCCAGGTGCCGTGCCTCGCTCTGCAGGTGGCACATGGTATTGGTTCACCCTCCAGCAGCCCTATGTTTACTAACTTTATTTTGCTGATAAGTGGAGGCTCAGAGTGTTTACTTGCCCAGTGTCACACAGTCAAGAAGTGGCAGGGCTGGAACTGGAAAGCCAGACTTCTGAGTCCCAATGCCTTTCCACTATACTAAAACAAGAACTGAGTAGGCTTAAAACTGCAAGGCATGGCTGAACCACGTAGTGACTAAGAGTTGGATGTTGAGCCTAGACGCACCTTGGTTCAAATCCCAGTTTAGACACTTACCATCTAAGAGAGTCTAAGAGAACCGGAGCAAGTTAGTTAACGTCTCAGAGCCTCCTCGTACTCATTCTAAAGGTGAGGGAACTAATACCTGTTTTAAAGAGCTGCCATAAAATATACATGAGATTGGACAGGTGCGGTGGCTCATGCCCATAATCCAAACACTTTAGGAGGCCCAGGTGGAAGGATCACTCAAGGCCAGGAGTTGAAGACCAGCCTGGGCAACATAGAGACACCTCATCTCTGCAAAAAGTGGACAAAATTAGCTGGGGATGGTGGTGTATGCCTACAGTCCTAGCTACTCAGGAGGCTGAGGTGGGAGGATTGCTTGAGCCCAGAAGATGGAGGCTGCAGTGAGTCGAGATTGTGCCACCACACTCCAGCCTGGGTAACAGGGCAAGATCTTGCCTCAAAAAGTAAGTAAATAAATAAAATTTAAAAAAATTAACAGGTTAGCTGGGCATGGTGATGTGCACCTACAGTCCCAGCTACTTGGCAGGCTGAGGCAGGAGGATCTCTTGAGCCCAGGAGTTTACAGCTGCAGTGAGCTCTGATTGTATCCATTACACTTCAGCCTGGGTGACAGAGCAAGACCCTGTCTCTAAAAAACAAAGACTCAGTAAATAAATAAATGAGATACAATTCACAATCAAGCCTCTTAGTGAGAGTGCACTCATGTGCACTTGGTGAACAACAGCTGATACTACTGTTTCTGGCTCTAACCTTCTAACCCTGCCATAAATATTTGCTCTTTTATTTGTTCCTGTTCTTCCCTGTTTCTCCCTCCTTTACTAAAACTACCCCTTCCTAGCCCTCAGGTCCTTTATTTCTCATATAACAGTAATCACACTGATGTGTTGAGTGCTTCCTATGTGGCTGATACTGTGCGAAGCCCTTCACAGGCACTGCAGCACATCAGCACATCACCCTCACAGCAACCCCAAGAGAGGGGCACTCTTATTAGGCCAACTTTATAAAAGTGGGCACCAGTCAGCCACGGTGGTTCTCACCTATAATCCCAACACTTTGGAAGGGCAAGGTGGAAGGACTGCTTGAGCCCAGGAGTTTGAGACCAGCCTAGGTAACATAGGGAGATCTCATCACTACGAAAATTGGCTGGGCATGGTAGTGCATGCCTATAGTCCCAGCTACTCAGAGAGGCTGAGGCGGAAGGATCACCTGGGCTCGGGAGGTCCAGGCTCCAGTGAGCCATGATCATGCCACTGCCCTCCAGCCTGAACGAAACAGCGAGACCCTAGCTCAGTCAACCAATGTGTACGCCAAGGATTAAATTCAGTAACGTATCCAAGGTCACACATAGCAGAGCTGTCACCCTTAAAGTCGGGGCTCCAAGCCATTCCACTATCTTGTCTCCACATCTCCAGAAGAGATATCCAGAAGTATCTTGTGAAATATGCTATTCTCCAAGTCCTGGGACCACTCAACCACCTGGGTTTCAGCTCAAATGTCACCCACTTTAGCAGCCTTTCCTTAGCACCCTAACTAAAACAATTATTGCCACACTCCCTCCTCCATGCCTCTAGCTCCCTAACTTTATTCTTAGGCTTTTTTTTTTTTCTTTTTTTTTCTTTAAAGACAGAGTTTTGATCTTGTTGCCTAGGCTGGAGTACAATGGCACCATCTCGGCTCACCGCAACATCTACCTCCTGGGTTCAAGTGATTCTCCTGTCTCAGCCTTCCGAGTAGTTGGGATTACAGGTGTGTGCTGCCACGTCCACCTAATTTTGTATTTTTAGTAGAGACGGGGTTTCTCCATGTTGGTCAGGCTGGTCTCAAACTCCTGACCTCAGGTGATCTGCACGCCTCGGCCTCCCAACGTGCTGGGATTACAGGCGTGAGCCACCGCGCCCAGCCCATCATTTTAAAACTCTTTCTCTTATGGATTGTCAGTCTCCCCCATCCAATAGAATGTGAGGACCCTACGGTCAGAGGCCACATCACTGGTGAAGCCTCACACTCGCAACAGAACCTGGCACATGATAGGTGCTCCATCAATATTTGTTGACTCACTAAATGAATGAAAGATCATAAGAGACAGTATTAAGAACCGGACTGGTGGCCGGGCGCGGTGGCTCACGCCTGTAATCCCAGCACTTTGGGAGGCCGAGGCGGGTGGATCACGAGGTCAAGAGATCGAGACCATCCCGGTCAACATGGTGAAACCCCGTCTCTACTAAAAATACAAAAAATTAGCTGGGCATGGTGGCGCGTGCCTGTAATCCCAGCTACTCAGGAGGCTGAGGCAGGAGAATTGCCTGAACCCAGGAGGCGGAGGTTGCGGTGAGCCGAGATCGCGCCATTGCACTCCAGCCTGGGTAACAAGAGCGAAACTCCGTCTCAAAAAAAAAAAAAAAAAAAAAGAACTGGTTAGGAGCACACATTTTAGAGCCACATTATTACATTATTCAGGTTCAGCTTCTATATCAATCAAAAACACATAAGCCCCTCTAAAGTTAGGATAAAAATAACAGAAGTACGAGTTCCTCCTTTAAGAATACTGGGCCACCTCTAAACCATTTCACAATAGAGAAGGTTAAAGGAGGAAAAAAGGTTTCCAAGCAAATTCTATTTTCCCTTGATCTTTATATGGTAGTCATTGTTCATTGAGCTATTAAAAACTTTGTTGAAGAATTATTCTATAGTATTTTGTAGTCTTTATAATACTTAGTATTTTACTTTCTGCTATGTATGCTAAAGACTCGTCTTCCTTTAGGCATTTCAAATACTTTGAAACATTGTTCAGATAATTACAGAAGCCACAAAACAATGTATGGTGAGGAAATTAATTACCTATCATTGTTATCAATGGATGTGAAAATTTTAATTGTCAGTTTCTGAGCCTTGCTTCAAAGTACACTGTATGAAAGTTTAATTTACTGGGAAAAACCCAGGCTGGAGTGCAGTGGCACCATCTCAGCTCACTGTAACCTCTGCCTCCCAGGTTCAAGAAAGTCTCCTGCCTCACCCTCCCAAGCAGCTGGGACTACAGGTGTGCACCACCACACCCAGCTGATTTTTGTGTTTTGAGTAGAAACGAGGTTTCACCATGTTGGCCAGGCTAGTCTTGAACCCCTGACCTAAAGTGATCCACCCACCTCAGCTACCCAAAGTGCTGGGATTAGAGATGTGAGCCACCACACCCGGCCAAGTTATTGGAAATTTTAAGATAAATAAGATGGTGTTCCTAATGCAATGAAATAAGCAATTCTGATTATTTCTTGAGTCTTAAACAGAACAGCAAATGCTTTGTTTAACTGGCTTTGACCCTTGATCCTGCCATTTCCTGGCTGTGTGACCTGATGCATGTCATTTATCTCCCTGCACCTCAGTTTCCTGGTTTCTAAAACAGTAAAGGGGATAAGTGTGCTCACAGGGTTCCTGGGAGGAAGGAATGAATCAAGTCTGGCACCCAGGACGTGCTCAGCAGATGTTTGCTAGAAACATCATCCCTGTCTCCCCACCCTGGGCCCGGTGTCCAGGGAAGATGCATCTCATACCTTCATTAACCGGATTTTGGCCTGCGTCTTCCCAGGGTCCAACTTCTGCCTTCTATGCAGTTCTCGTGGCTGGTGGCTTGTCACCACCATAGTGGGCATGGAGTGCAACACTAGGGGTAGACAGAAAAGGACAGGGAGAGAGTGAGGGTCTCGGCAGGCCTGAGGCCAGGTTCCTGGAGTGCACCAGTAATGAGAGGGGGCCCAGGCCCCAGCCCCACCTCTGGCTGCCTTATAATGTGACACTAGACTCAAGGTGAAACTCACAGCCTTCGCTAAGCTCCCAGGAACTATTTTGGGCCTCGATATAAGGGAGGGACAGGCCCAGGTGAAAGCAGTGACTATGGGCATGGACAGAGGGGAGGTGGGGCAGCCAGGAACCCTCTCTCAACTGTCCAGCCAGAAAGAGAGGCAGGAACTCCCACTCTGTGTGTCTTTTCAGTAGCTGCTGCAGCACAGCCCAGCAGGAAGACCAGAGCCTGGCAGGCCTGAGTCCAAACCCCTGCTCTGCCACCAACCTGGTTTATAGAAGGCCAGATGGGTAGGGGTTAGGAACAAGAACTAATAACCCAGACCGTCCAGGTTTAAATCCAGGCTCTTGGCCAGGCGCAGTGGCTCACACCTGTAATCCCAGCACTTTGGGAGGCAGAGAAGGGCGGATCACCTGCAGTCAGGAGTTCAAGATCAGCCTGGCCAACATGGTGAAACCCCGTCTCTACTAAAAATACAAAAGTTAGCCAGGCATGGTGGTGGGTGCCTGTAATCCCAGCTACTTGGGAGGCTGAGGCAGGGAGAATCACTTGAACCCAGGAGGCGGAGGTTGCAGTGAGCTGAGATCATACCACTGCACTCCAACCCTGGGCAATAGAGCGAGACTATATATATATATATATATATATATATATATATATATATATATACATACACACACACACACACACACACACACACACACACACACAATTTAAAAATTGAAAAAGTAAATCCAGGCTCTGCCTTCTGTTAGCTGCGTGACCTCGAGCAGGTCAAATGGCCTCTGTGTCTCTCCATTTGCCCACCTATAAAATAGGAATAATCATCATGCCTACCTCATAGAGTCTTCGTGAAGATGAAGTAAGAAGTTAATAGACCTTAAAGGTGTTTGGGATAGTGCCTGGTGCATACTCAGTGCTGAATACACATTACCAGTTGTTACTCTTACTTCTAGTGACCTGAGAACTGGGACCACAACACCAGACGAAGGCACAGCAACTGGGCAACACTCCAAATGGCCGTCTCTGAAACACTCTTAGAGCTGTGGTTCTGCCAGACAGGGTGTGGAGGCATTTGGGGGACATATTCTTAGAATCCCTGTTTCCTCTCCACCTGTCCGGCAATTACATGAGACTAACCACCCTGATGGGTCCAGCTCTACTCAGTCCCCACCAAAATCCCGGCTTCAGGTACAACCCAGTTTATCTCAGAAATATATTAATCTCTTTAATAGATCAATGTCCTTCATTCTGAGAAATGTTGGCATTAACTATGGAGATGATGAAGTCAATTAATTTTGTGTTTACTTTATAAATTACCTGTATATATCCGGTTTTTAATTATATTGTGTAAGAGATAGAATGAATAATAGATTGATCTTGTGATTCTAATTTTAAAGTGTAAGTGGGATTTTGATTTAGATTTAAGTTGAAGGTTTAAGACATTTATTAAATATGTATAAATTAATTTTATTACTTAAGAAAACATAAGATTACCTATATTAATTTTTATTTTTTGAGGCAGAGTCTTTCTCTGTCACCCAGGCTGGAGTGCAGTGGTGTGATCTTGGCTCACTGCAACCTACGTCTCCCGGGTTCAAGCGATTCTCCTGCCTCAGCCTCCCCAGTAGCTGGAACTACAGGCATGCACCACCACACCTGGCTAATTTTTATATTCTTAGTAGAGACAGGGCTTCCCCATGTTGGCCAGGCTGGTCTCAAACTCGTCACCTCATGATCCATCCACCTCAGCCTCCCAAAGTGCTGGATTACAGGCGTGAGCCACTGCTCTCAGCAATTTTTTTCTTTTTTGAAACAGAGTCCGGCTCTGTCGCCCAGGCTGAAGTTCAATAACGGCGAGATCTTGGCTCACTGCAACCTCTGTCTCCCAGCTTAAAGCGATACTCCTGCCTCAGCCTCCCAAATAGCTGAGATAGCAGGTGCCTGCTGCCACACCCAGCTATTTTTTTATTATTATTATTTTTAGTAGAGACAGGGTTTTACCATGCTGGCCAGGCTGGTCTCCTGATCTCAGGTGATCCCACTCGTCTCAGCCTCCCAAAGTGCTAGGATTACAGGTGTGAGCCACCACGTCCAACCAGATTACCCATATTTAGAATTTTATGTATTAAATATATAAGAATTATGTAAATATCCAATGGTTTTGTTAATCAGACAAGTGAACTATTTGAAAATGAAAATGGATAGGTTAAATTTCAAGATGCGGCTTAAAAAGTTTAGGAGAATTTAATTAACCAAGTTCCAAAACCCCCTTATACGTGTTTATAAAAACTAAAAGATTCTTGACTTGAACTTAAATGCTTAAGGAAGATTGTAGTTTTAATAATTAAACTTTTTACTTCAAAATAGCTCAGATTCACAAGCAGTTTTAAGAAATGATACAGAGAAGCAGGCTGCAGTGGCTCATGCCTGTAATCCCAGAACTTTGGGAGGCCGAGGCAGGTGGATCATCTGAGGTTAGGCGTTCAAGACCAGCGTGGTCAACATGGTGAAACCCCGTCTCTACTAAAAGTACAAAAATTAGCTAGGCATGGTGGCACATGTCTGTAATCCCAGCTACTTGTGAGGCTGAGGCAGGAACCCAGGAGCTGGAGGTTGCAGTGAGTCAAGATCACACCACTGCACTCCAGCCTGGGTGACAGAGAAAGACTCTGCCTCAAAAAACAACAAAGAAAGGAAAGGAAAGGAGGAAGGAAGGAGAGAAAAGAAAAGAGAAAGAAAGAAAGGAAGGAAGGAAGGAAAGGAGGGAGGGAGAAAGGGAGGAAAGGAGGAGAGAGAGAGAAAGAAAAAGAAAGAAAAGAAAAAGAAAAAAGGACAGAAGGAAGGAAGGAAGGAAGGAAAGAAAAGAAGGGCCGGGCATGGTAGCTCACGCCTGTAATCCCAGCACTTTGGGAGGCCAAGGTGGATGGATCACAAGGTCAGGAGATCGAGACCAGCCTGGCCAACATGATGAAATACCATCTCTACTAAAAACACAAAAATTAGCCAGGCGTGGTGGTGGGTGCCTGTAATCCCAGCTACTTGGGAGGCTGAGGCAGAAGAATTACTTGAACCCAGGAGGCGGAGGTTGCAATGAGCTGAGATCACACCACTGCACTCCAGCCTGGGTGACAGAGTCTCAAAAAAAAAAAAAAAAAAAAAAAAAAAAGAAAGAAGAAAAGAAAGGAAGGAAGGGAGAGAGGGAGGGAGGGAGGAAAGAAAGAAAGAAAACAAAACGAAGGGAGTCTATGTACCCTTTACCCAGTTTCTCCCAGGGGCAACATCCCGCAAAAGTACAGTACAACATCACAACAAGGATATTGACATTACAATGGGCAAGATACAGAACTTCCACAACCACAAGGATCCTGCCTGTTGCCTTTTACAACCACGCCCACTTCCTTCCCCTTACCACCCTCCTTACAACTCTGTTCCTAACCCCTGCAATCTCTAATCTGTTCAGCATTTCGGTAATTTTGTGATTCCCACAATGTTATATAAATGGAATAATGCAGTATGTAACTGTTGAGATTGGCTTTTTTTTTTTTTAACTTGGCATAATTCTCTGCAGATTCATCCAAGTTGTTGAACATATCAATAGTTCTTTCCGGTTTATTGCTGAATAGTTTTCCATGGTATGGATGCAACATAGCTTGTTGAAACACTCACCCATGAGGGACTTAAGGTTGTTTCAAGTTTTGAGGTATTATGAACGAGGCTGCCATGAACATTCACACACTAGCTTTTGTGTAAATAAAGTTTTCATTTCTCTGGAATAAACGCCCAAGAGTAAAATTGCTGGGTCAGATTGCTAGGCGGTGCATGTTTAATGTCTTTAGAAACTGCCATACTGGTTTCCAGAGTGGCTGTCTCATTTCACCTTCGCACAAGCAATTGTGCACAATCTGATTTCTCCTTTTTGCTAGCATTTGGTGTTATCACTATTTTTTTTATTTTAGCCATCTTGATAGGTGTGCAGTGACTTAATTTGCATTTCCTTAATGGCTAATAATGTTGAACATCTTTTTTATGTGCTTATTTGACACCTGTATATCTCCTTTGGTGAAATGTCTCTTCCTGTCTTTTTCCCATTGCCTAACTGAATTGTCCGTTTCATTGTTGAGTTTTTAGAGTGCTTGATATATTTTACATAGCAGTCCTTCATCGGATACATGGTTTGCAAATACTTTCTCCAAGTCTATAGCTTGTCTTTTCATCCTCTTAAAAAGGCCTTTTACGGCTGGGTGCGGTGGCTCACGCCTGTAATCCCAGCACTTTGGGAGGCCAAGGCGGATGGATCACGAGGTCAAGAGATCGAGACCATCCTGGTCAACATGGTGAAACCCCATCTCTACTAAAAATACAAAACATTAGCTGGGCATGGTGGTGCGTGCCTGTAATCCCAGCTACTCAGGAGGTTGAGGCAGGAGAATTGCCTGAACCCAGGAGGCGGAGGTTGTGGTGAGCCGAGATCGTGCCATTGCACTCCAGCCTGGGTAACAAGAGTGAAACTCCATCTCAAAAAAAAAAAAAATGCCTTTTACAAGGCTGGGTGCAGTGGCTTACACCTATAGACCCAGAACTTTGGGAAGCTGAGGCGGGCGGATTACTTCAGATCACAAGTTTGAGACCAGCCTGGCCAACATAGTGAAACCCTATTAAAAACACAAAAATTAGCCAGGTGTGGTGGCACACGCCTGTTGTCTCAGCTACTCAGGAGGCTGAGGCAGGAGAATCACTTAAACCCAGGAGGAAGAGTTTGCAGAAAACCGAGATCACGCCACTGAACTCCAGCCTGGGCAACAGAGCAAGACTCTGTCTCAAAAAAAAAAAAGAAAGAAAAAGAAAAGAGAAAAGTCACAGAACAAAAGTTTTAATTTTGCCGGGTGCGGTGGCTCAAGCCTGTAATCCCAGCACTTTGGGAGGCCGAGGCGGGTGGATCACGAGGTCAAGAGATCGAGACCATCCTGGTCAACATGGTGAAACCTCGTCTCTACTAAAGGTGCAAAAAATTAGCTGGGCATGGTGGCGCATGCCTGTAATCCCAGCTACTCCGGAGGCTGAGGCAGGAGAATTGCCTGAACCCAGGAGGCGGAGGTTGCGGTGAGCCGAGATCGCGCCATTGCACTCCAGCCTGGGTAACGAAACTCCGTCTCAAAAAAAAAAAAAAAAAAAAAAAGTTTTAATTTTGATGCTGTCCAGTTCATCCATTTTTCTTTTGTGGGTCAAGCACTTGGTGTGATACCTAAGAACTCTTCACTTGGCCTTATGCCCCAAAGACTTTTCTCTCCTGTTTTCTTCTAAAAGTTTTTCACATTTTACATTTAGTTTCTATTTTATTTTATCTTTGAGATATTTTTTATATTTGCTGTTAAACTTGAGTCAAGTTTCATTTTTATTTTTTGCCTATAGATGTCCAATTGCTCCAGTGCCACCCGTGGAAAACGCTTTCTTCCTCCATTGAAATTTTTTTCCCCTTTCTGAAAAACCCATTGAGAATATCTGTATGGATTTATTCCCTTTCCATCACTGGGAAGTGTTGGCAGTGTCCAGCAGGGAGCTGATCTTTCATTTCCTGCTTGGTGATGCTGATTCCCCAATTAGGATAGGGCTGGCAGGGATCAGCGGGGAGGTCGTCTTCTCTTCTCCCTTCCCCCCACCCCCGGCAGAAGAAGGCAGTGCTCTGACTCTCTCTCTAGGGTAGTGTCAACAGGGTCCGGCAGCGACAAGATTTCAGGAAGTGTCATGAGGTGGGACTCTCACCTCTGGGCTTTGCTGCTCCCCTCCCCCAGCCTACCTATGTCAGTGGAGCCTGGTGGGAACCTGAACCTCTATCCCCAGCCAGCATCAGTGAGGTTAAACAAGGTGGTGATAGGCAGGGCAACCTGGCAATTCTACTCTCCCATATCCCTTTTGGATGTGAGTGTTGCCTACAGGGGAGCTGAAACATTACTGACTCGGAAGCAATTAGGTGGTATGAGTGATGTTATACATAGGTATATACGTAAGTATGCTATATTGTCTGTGAAGTTCATGTCAGGATACCAAAGAAATATTAAATATTTGTTATTAATTCTCACAACAATTCTATGCGGTATTAGTGTCCCCATTTCACAAATGAGAAAACCAAGGCTTGGAGAGATGAATGATTTTTCCAAGTGAGTAAATGGCAGAGCCAAAATCTGACCCCATGTCTGCCTGAGCCTCAGTTCTGACCCAATGCTTCAAAACTCCCCAGGAAAGCATGATAATGATGCGGCAGAGATTATTCTATGAGTTCACCAAACCCTGCTTTCTTTTTCTCCTGGAAACACAGATGCACTACATTTTCCACCTTCCCTTGTGGTTAGCAGAGGTCATGTGGCTAAATTGTGGCCCCTGAAACATGAGTAGGAGTAACATTTGCCACTTCAAATCTGGACCCTCCCCAAAAATGCCCACATAATTTTCCATGTTCTTTTTCTCTCTCTTCCCTCTCTGCCAGCTGGATGCAAAAGTATCCAGCAAGACCTTACAAAATATCAGAGCCACAATGTCAAAGGAACCTGGATCCCTGAATGACCGCATGGAACAGAATGTCACCTTCCTCAGATCCACAAATGCACTGTGACATAAATGAGATATAAACTTCTATATTAAGACTTGCAATTTGGGCATTGTTTATTACATCAGTTAGCCTACTCTAATATGGATGGTGTCCCCAAGAGCCAAGAGCAGCCACTCTATCCTGTCTCCAAACCCCACACCAGCTCCCAAGTGCCACTGCCCACCTGGTTGGACCCTAGTCAAAGTCTTCATTTTGCTTGTATTAAGGCTGTTGGCTTGTCGGACTGGAGGCAGAGTAGATGGCTTGGTTTTCTGTTTGGACTGCCGCCATAGAACATAATCCTACAAAATATATAATCAGTGACATAGCACCATGAGTTCATATCCCAGCTCCACCCTTTTCAGAACTCTGTGACCTCAAACGAGTGACTTTACCTCTCTGAGCCTCAATTTTCTCATCTGTAAAGTGGATCTAATAATAAAACCTACTTCTGTGGGTTGGAGCAAGAATTCTCATAGATGATATTCATGAAGCATGTGGTGAGTGCTCCATAAATGTTAGCTATCACTTTTTTTTTTTTTTTTTTTTTTATCAGCCAGCCAGAATTTACTAAGCACATCCAGGCTGTGAGGTGCTAAGAACCGTAAGAAACAGAAGGCATGGAAAAGACCCAACATCCACCCTCAGGAAACCAGAGTAGCAATCAGATGAATAAGAGAACAATGTAATGTACCTTTACATTCTGATAAGACAGTGAGAGGAGAAAAGTTAGGTTCTGAGGCATGCTCTGGGTCCCACAGCAAAGTGTCACGCGGCTGAGACTGGAATTCTGGTCTCCAGCCTATATCCGCGGAGCAGTCACGACAGTGAGAGTGGAGGGCAGGTGGACTGCAGGGCCAGTGAGCCTCCCACCCCAGTCTTAGACCCCCAAGACTCACCGTAGCCTGGAACTCGTGGACTGTGGAGTAAGTCCCAGAGTGCTTGGGTCTGGAAAGAGTTGGGGAGGGTAAGAAGTTTCATTATTTCCAGTCCAAGGGGCTGCAAGCTGCAAACTTGAAACAGGACTGGAGTCTCGAACACGAAACTGCACGATAGTTCAACCGGGCACAATAACGCCCCGGGAGTGGGGCGGGGCCAAGGACATGAGGGCGGGGAGAGGGCGAGGTCAAAAGACCTCACGGCGAGGGCGGGGCAGCGGCGGGGTGGGAAATACTCATGCGCACTCCGCCCCGCCGCCAATGCTCTTTTTCACCTACTTTTGTAAGACATGAGCCATTGGGGAAAATTGGAAAGAAGCTGCGAGTCTGTGAGGCCCTGATCTTCCAGAATGCCTACGCGGCTTTTCCAACTTCCTTGTCTCAGTGCAAATCGCGCGGTAACCCAGGCCACTCAAACTTCCCGAGACCCGATGCTTACACGAGTGTCTCGGTCTCCAAGGAAACGCGACGCCAGCTACCGAGCGCCTAGAGGGACTAACCTCTCAAGGCAAAACCTAGCTCGGCCTGCTTTTCAATTTGGTATAGAATTCCCTTCAGTTTGTCCGGCCTATAATCCTAAGATATTATATTTCTCCATTCTCATCAAACCTCCATCACTTCCTTCACCATCCTCACTCTTGGCTAACGACTCTGCTTCCAATTTTACCAAGAAAATCGTGGGAATCAGTAAACCCGCAAGTTCACCGCACCATTTACTTGCCTCCCTCCTGCACCTACGTATAAACTGCCTGGTAAGACCAATTCCTACATGTATGCACCGAATCCTATGCTCTCATTTTCTCAAAGATACTGGCCGAGCAGTTTCCCCCGTTTTCTCCTACATCATCCTCTTTCATCCGTTTGTATCATCCGTATACCAACATATGTTTAAGTTTCTTCTGTTTAGAAAGATTGACCACAGCCCGGCACGGAGGCTCATGCCTATAATTGCAGCACTTTGGGAGGCCAGAAGGGGAAGATCACTTGAGCCAGGAAGGTCGAGGCTGCAGCAGGCATGACCAGCCACAGCATGCCAGCCTAGGTGACAGAGCAAGACTCTGTCTCTAAATAAATAAACAAGCCACTTCCCCTCCAGCCAGCTCCCATTTCTGCTTCATTTTAAAGCAAAACTCCTAGAGAGGTTTCCCTACTGTTTCCCAGTTTTTGCCCTCCACTCAATCAAGCTTTCACTCTCCACTGAAACTGCCCTTGTCAACATCATTGGTGACCTCCACTTTGCTAAACCCCATGGTCCCTTCTAGGGCCTCCCCTTATTTGGCCTGTCTGCAGCATGTGGCAACAGATCACTCCCTCCCCTGAAACACTTTCTTAACTTAGTATCCAGGAAACCACTCTTGAGTTACTTCCTGCCTCCTTTTCAGTCTCCTTTGCTGGTTCCTCCTCTTCTCCCTTTATCATTGTAGTGTCCCAGGGCTCAGTCCCAGCCTTCTCCCTTCCAGTCTCACGGTTTTGAATAACATCTGTACCCAGATGCCTCTCAGACTCACGTCTCCAGCTTGCCCCTGAATTCCAGCCATATACATCCAACTGCCTACTTGGGCCCCTTATAAGCTACTCTAATGTGCAGTATTTTTCCAGAAACCTTTTTCCTGAACTCAAAATGGGGAGATTCTCTTCTTGGAATCATCCTTAATTCATCTCTTATCCCACATCCATCAGCAGATCCTGTTGCAATAACTTCAACTTATATCTGGAATAGGAACACACACACACACACACACACACACACACACAAACACACACACACACTCATACACACATATAAACACACAACCCTCTTTCCTTTTGTGTCCCAGCTAAAGTAGTAACTCCCACTCTTGACCTACACCAATTCTTTCTACACACCAAATTTGCTAGATAGAGCATAGATTTAAAAGTGGGGGCCGGGCGCGGTGGCTCAAGCCTGTAATCCCAGCACTTTGGGAGGCCAAGGCGGGTGGATCACGAGGTCGAGAGATTGAGACCATCCTGGTCAACACGGTGAAACCCCGTCTCTACTAAAAATACAAAAAATTAGCTGGGCGTGGTGGCGCGTGCCTGTAATCCCAGCTACTCAGGAGGCTGAGGCAGGAGAATTGCCTGAACCCAGGAGGCGGAGGTTGCGGTGAGCCGAGATCGCGCCACCGCACTCCAGCCTGGGTAACAAGAGCGAAACTCCGTCTCAAAAAAAAAAAAAAAAAAAAGTGAATTCCAGTTTGAAAGATAATTGGGAGGGAGCAAATAATTGGAAATCACTTAAACTTCAATAGGGGAAAATTACTATAGAATACCACACCAGAGCTCCCAACATTTTCTGCCTCTTAAAAATCACAGCAGAATGTTTTTAAAAGCACTGTAGTAAATAGAAGCAGCTGCTAGGATAAAAGCAATTAGACTGGGTGCTCTGGCTATCCGGGTTCCTCCTGGCTGCCCCTAGAGCTGAGGGAATCACTATGTTGGGTACCCTCATTTGCAGAGCACACTGTATGACAACACTCTTTCTGGGAAACTCTGTACCAGGAAACCATTAAAGTGAAAGATAGCTGGGCACAGTGGCTTGCACCTGTAATCCCAGCACTTTGGGAGGCCAAGGCAGGCAGATCATGAGGTAAAGAGATTGAGACCATCCTGGCCAACCTGGTGAAACCCCGTCTTTACTAAAAATACAAAAATCCTGAGTAATTGGGACTACAGGCATGCTGGTGTGTGCCTGTAGTCCCAACTACTCAGGAGGCTGAGGCAGGAGAGTCACTTGAACCTGGGAGGCAAAGGTTTCAGTGAGCCAAGATTGCACCATTGCACTCTAGCCTGGCAACAGAGCAAGACTCCGTCTCGAGAAAAAAAAGTACAAGATACAGGCATGGTGGCTCATGCCTATAATCCCAGCACTTTGGGAGGCTGAGGCGGGTAGATCATTTGAGGTCAGGTGTTCAAGACCAGCCTGGCCAACATGGTGAAACCCTATCTCTACTAAAAATACAAAAAGTTAGCCGAGCATGGTAGCAGATGCCTATAATCGCAGCTACTGCAGAGGCTGAGGCAGGAGAATCACTTGAACCGGGGAAGCAGACGTTCCAGTGAGCCAAGATTGCGCCATTGCACTCCAGCCTGGGCAACAATAGGGAAACTCTGTCTCCAAAAAAACCCCACAAAACAAAACAAAGTAAAAGATAGCAATACATGACAGACCCAGGTAGTGACTTACTCAACAGCCTTTCCTCCCTGTCATCCCAGCTACTGGATGCTGATCTTGTCCATGTAGGCACTTGCGTTAAGGGAGGCAGGCCCCAAACCCAGCCCTAGTCCTGGTCCCAGCTCCAGTAGTCATGACTGGTCTGAGGCTGGGCTTTGGTGGGCCAATTTCCATTCCCAGTCAGAGGTCTAGTCATAGACACATGATGAAAAAGTCTGGCCAGGGAGACGAATGAGAAATCTACTCAGAGGCTTTTGGGAAAGGTTTTCATCACACTTTTAAAAAAAGACATTGCAGAAAAACATTCCTTCATCTGCTTGTAGACATTGTCATATCTGTGTGGGATTCCTGGAATCGAGGAACTGTGAAGGGAGCTGGCCAAAGAGGATATATTGTGAATGGTAGAGAGGAAAATGGAAGAGAAAAAAACGCTCTTCCTTGATAGCACTGTTGAACCATTAAATTATCTAACCCTAGCCTGGCACAATAGTATGTGCCTATAATACCAGCTACTTGGGAGGCTAAGGCAGGAGGATTGCTTGAGGCCAGGGGTTTGAAATTAGTCTTGGCATCATAGCGAGACTGCATCTCAGGGGAAAAAAATTTTTTTTGGTTTTAATTAGCCAGATACAGTGATGTATACCTGCAGTCCCAGCTGCTTGGGAGGCTGTAGTGGGAGGACTGCCTGAGTCCATATGTTTGAGGCTACAGTGAGCTATGATTGTGCCACTGCACACCAGCCTGAGCAACAGGGTGAGATTCTGTCTCTAAAAAAAATTAATTGATTAAATTAATCTGTCACCTATCTAGAAATTACCTGAGATTAAATAAGAAATCACATTACTACATGAGCAAATTTGAGTCCAGTTTTCTGGGACTTGCGGACCGAAAGCATTTTACTGAAATCTACATGTGGAGGAACAACAAGATAGAAGGAATCCAGGTCCCAACAACCTTGCAGGACAGTGTCACCTACCTGTCCTTACTGCCTGCCAAATTCCGAGCTGCTTAATCAAAGAGAAATAGACCTCCAGCTTCTCTGAGACCCTGTATTTGAGAGTCCCTTTGGTAGAGTAGCTTAACCTGTACCTTGACTAATACAAAGAAGAGGTTGGCCCCTGTCACACAGCCTTCCTCATCAGACATGCTGACCCAGCATGGACATCCACTGAGAGCTGCCCGCGCCCCACATCTCAGTGCTCAGTCAGTAATATTACTGCCTCCCACTTCAAATTTAAAAATAAATACACAAAAACATTTGCCAGTTTAATCAAAGCCAAAACACACTTAAGGGACCACTGAAAATCACTTGTAACAAAGCTGTTGGAACTGGGATTGAATAAGATGGGGTCCACTTGCACTTACACCTGTCCAGGTAGCATTTCTTTGTTCACCAACACCTAATGGAACCTCCTGCTCCCAGGATAGGTGGGCAAGATGAGCTGGCCTTTCCTGCCTGCGCATGTGAGGTGATGAATGTGACCAAGGGCGTCTCAGGCCTGCTTGGCTCCAGGCTCAGCAATAGCAACCTGGGCTCTGATTGCATCAACATCTTGCTGAGAGATGGACTCGGTTGAGCAGGCAATCTCGGGCTTCCATCCGTGTCATCTCATGTGCTGGCTTTGTGGCAAATGTGCACACCATCCTAAACCCACAATCCCTACTGCTGTCACTGGGTAAGATGCCATGGTTCTTGTGAAGACACCTGACACACTCAACATAACAAGATCTTGGCCAGGTGTGGGGGCTCACACCTGTAATCCCAGCACTTTGGGAGGCCAAGGCAGACGGATCACGAGGTCAGGAGTTCAAAACCAGCCTGGCCAACATGGTGAAACCCCATCTCTACTAAAAATACAAAAATTAGCCAGGCGTGGTGGTGTGTACCTGTAGTCCCAGTTACTCAGGATGCTGAGTTGGAAGAATCGCTTGAACCTGGGAGGTGGAAGTTGCAGTGAGCCAAGATCACACCATTGTACTCCAGCCTGGGCAATGAAGCGAGACTCCATCTCAAAAAAAAAAAAAAAAAAAAATCAGAACAAGATCCTAGGCATTCCTTCTTACAATCTGCACAGAGCACTCCAGAGCTGCTCTTCCATCCCAAGAGTCCCCACTGAATTCACTACTAGGCCCCAGCACCCTGTTGTCTTCCTGTTGTGCATGATTGCTGACCTTCAGTTGTCCTTGTGCCCTCTTCCTATCCTATTCAGTCCTGATTGTGGGCACAACTTCATCCCGTAACTTGGAGGTTGCCAGGCCAACCTTGAC